TTTATTATTTTAAATTGCGTTTATATTTTATACACCGATGATGATCGTTATTGGTCCCAAATCATGTTATGTGTTTATTAATGCAGAAAGGTAGAATGTAGAAATATAATATATTACAAATGTATTTGCTGTATCAAAAAGCTGGAACATTTATTTAAGACTCCTAATATATTGATACAGTGGCAGTTGAAAATTATTACAAATACATAGTCACATTATTTTTTTATAAGAATTTAAAGTTTGAATTTTGAAAAATCATGAATGTTATTTCACAAAAATCGTGCAAATTATTTTGCGTTAAAAATTCATAAAAAATTTTATTTTTACATCTAAGATTCGAAAATTGAATTCAAGATTTTTTAATTCCTTAACAAATAAATGTATATACTTGCAATTTACACCATATTTGTATTTAATCAACTCCTATTATACTTGATAACATTTTCAAAATATTTTGCATTTTTTTTAAATATTTACAGATATTTTAAATTATTTTAGGTTTTCTTTTTATAAATGTCAATAAAATGTTATTTATTAGGTATAAAAGCATAAAGATAGAATATAAGGTTTTTGATAATATATTGTTACAATAGCAGTTAAAAGATATAAAAAAATAATATAAAAAATTTTTTTGTATACCTAAGCATTTAAACTTAAATTGTTGATAAAATGTACCTATCAACTTTAAAGTTCAAAAATGATTTTGTAGTTAAAAATTTATAAAATGTTCACTTAATGTCGCTAAGCATTGAACATTTAAATGTTTACATTTTTACGAAAATACATAGGTATTAATAAAATAGGTAAAGAAGAATAACAATTTTAGTTATTTTGTTGCCCCTAATTTAAAAATATTATTCATGGATACTTCAAATTTCTCTAGTAGGTATATTATTATTTACAAATATTGAAATATGATAATATGCAAATAATATTAATTCAAGTTTGAAGTTACCGGCTGCCGTATTAATAATAAAAATTCAAATTCAATACAAAATATCCTAGACTTACAAACCATCTCCGCTCAGAATCGTATACAATGGTATTATATCATTGATTTCCAATTCAAAACTATCCGTTACAGTGACCCACTAGTAACCTACTGTACAGCTGAGTGACATAAACTTACTTTTTTAGTATAAATGTTAATTTTGTTTTAGAAAATAGAAATTTAACATTACCACATTATCTCGTGACCCTCATAATAACGTGACGCCTAAATCAGGGACTGGAACCGTACCGAAAAGAACCGGTTTTGGAACCGGAACCCTTTCAATATTGGGAACCGAAACCTCACCGAAACCCTAATTCAAATTAATTTTAAAACCGGAACCTCACCGGAACACTTATTTAAATGTATTTAAAAACCCGAACCTTACCGGAACCCTTATTTATATTTATTTAAAAACCGCAACTTAACCGCAACCCATACATTTTTTTAAAGGTTTTTACAGTTAATTTCGGTTTTGTTATATCATTAATTTTATTTAATATATCTGTCAATTGTCATTGGTACATGGTAGATAATATGAACTAAACAAATACGTAAATCTATTATTATTATTATTAAGAGGTTAATTATACAAAAACAATCATTCAATATTTGTATTTTGTACGTAACAACTGATAATGTAATAGAAATGAGAAATTCCCAATAAAAATAAGTCATTATTTACTGCATATTATTATATGTAGGTACCTATAGGGGTTCCAGTTACCACAATACCAAGCAATTCTCAATATATATGGTTAATATTTATAAATAACTGAAATTTTATGATTGTGTATATTATTACTATTAATACTATCGTTATCTGACGTACTGCAGTACGCCTCGCGGTAGAAATATCTGGTAGAAAAATTAGTATTGACGCCAACGAAACTTATCAAATATTTCTTACATGAGTGTTAACTTTCAAGTATAAAACCTTAACAGGAATTTCATTTCAGTTTTCATTTTTTAAGAACCGAAAAGAAACCGAAACCTACATTTTTGTTATTTTAAAAACCGAAACCGAAATTTCGATTTTTTTCAAAACCGAAAAGAAACCGAAACCGAAATTCTAGTTTTTTTTAAAAACCGAAAAGAAACCGTAACCGAAATTTTAGTTTTCTTAAAAACCGAAAAGAAACCGAAACCGAAATTTTAGTTTTTGTAAGAACCGAACCGGAACCGGAACTGTCAAAATCATCAAGGTTCCAGTCCCTGGCCTAAATATCAACTTTTGCTGAGAGCATGTCATCCTGCTCAGTTATGGCCACATGTACTTATTATTGTTTTCTTTACCTATCGATATGTAACACCTGTTCTTCATAAAATTAAGTATTATATAGAACGGTATGTAAAACAAATAATCACGGTTATCTACTCAGGTTGCGAAACGGCCTATCTAACTCCACTGTAATAATCAGCCAAGCGGCGTGATTGTGAACTACCAGCGCTAGTAGCTCTTGGCCCTCTAGTATCATAGTTTTCTAATAAAACATACATATGACGAGTGATTATTAATTAATTCAAGTTTTAAATTGTGCTTATTTTATATACAAGTCACAACTTATAAATATACATAATACAGGT